GAGAGAGAGAGAGAGAGAGAGAGAGAGAGAGAGAGAGAGAGATGGGGGGATGGTGTTGTGGCAGACTTGAATCAACGTTCTGTGCTGATAGATTACCCACGGTCACACATAGGAAGATGCGTGAGAGAGTATGGGGAAAAGGAAGAGATGTGGGGAACAGGAAGAAATGGAGGGGGGGGGGAGAGAAGGAGAGATGTGGGCAAGACATGCAGATGTAGCGCGAGACAGGTGGGGCGTATGTGCGTGAGTGAGAGAAATTGAGAGAGACAGCTAGAGTGCGAGGGTAGAGTGTGTAAGAGAGAGCGTGGGTAAGATGGACAGAGCGATGAGAGCTACCGAGAGAAGGGAAGGGAAAGGAGAATAAACGGGAGAGATGGGAAAGAGAGACGAGTAAGAAAGATGAGTGATGGTTAGCGCACACACGCACGCACTCACTCACGTACGCACGCGCGCGCACACATACGCGCGCACGCACGCGCACGCGCACCCATGTTACACGCATTACATGGTGATCCCCAGCATCCTGTCTATTGTCATCATCGGATGCGATGCTTTTTCAAACACGCTGGCGAGTACACAATCGGCCCCTGATCACCGTTATCATCATCACCACCGGCGGTGCCAACACCACCGCCACCGCCATCACCACCGCCATCACCACCACCATCCCAAACATCCGCCACCGCCATCACCGACGACGACGACGACGACAATAACAGTAGCAGCAGCAGCTGCAACAACAACATCATCATCATCATCATCATCATCATCATCATCACCATCACTGCCAAGAACATCTCCACAGCTACTAACGTCGTTATCAACACCACCACTGCTGCACTGCCATGCACGCACGCACGCACGCACGCACGCACGCACGCACACACACACACATAGACACGATTAATTTATCACTCCCTCACACACGTAGACATACAATTACACTCATATACAATATACACTCACCACTCAACTCACCCTCACCCACAACATGTAAACACTCACCACTCCCCCACCAATAACAATATGTAAACACTCACCACTCCCCCACCAATAACAATATGTAAACACTCACCACTCGCATCACACTCACCCCACCCCACCCCACCCACAATAACATACAAGCACACACAACTCACCTCACCCCCATCCCCACCCACAACAACATGTAAACACTCGACCCATGTACTGATATAACCCCCCTCCACCCACAACAACAACCTCCACCTCCACCTCCACCTCCACCTCCACCTCCACCCGCCCGCTACCGCTCATTCGCCGCTAGCCGTTCCACTCCTCCCTCCCTGACTCTAATATCTACCGCATCCACCTGCATCTCTCACATCACCATCCCTCCCCTCTTTCACTGCACGCATCACATCCAACGCTCCCCTATCCCCTAGCCTCCCTCGCCCCCGAAACCTCCTCACCCCACATTTTCTCATCCCACCCCCTTTTCTCATCCCGCATCCAAAGCTCCCTCGCCCCCCGTACTGCAACAGCTGTCGAACCAAACGAGCAACTCTGAACCATCGCCGGACACGCGGATAGAAAGACGGAGCGCTACCGATCGAGCCGCGCCTCCGTGGCGCCCCCTACCTTGCTGACGAGGAGGTCCGTGTGGTCGAAGTGGCGTCCGTACATCTTGGGAGCATCGCCCCCTAGCGGCTCGATCTTGATGCAAACTTCCTGACCTTTCTTCGCGCTGTCGATGATTTTGTGATTGATTTCGATGGTCGTGCAGATGCCAACGCAGACAAACTGTGAGAAGATAGAATAGGGGGTCGTGAGGAATATAGTACAACAAAACGTAAACAACTGTGCGCGGCTTCCTCATATACATACACGCACATTGAAACACACGCAAGCACCACGCAGTTTTCTTAAATACACGAAACGATTACGATGGGTATTGAAAATTTTCATCAGATGCCAAAGAACGAATATCTGGAACACAGGTGTCACACAAACCCACTCACGCACGCACGCATGCACGCACGCACGCATGCACGCACGCACACACGCACACGCACACACACGCACACAGGTATGTCTGTCGCTCAGCAGGGATGCCGCTGTGAACCGTTCACGATCAACCTGTCGTAAAGCTATCCGTGTACCTCCACCGGCGGCGACGGCAGCAGCAGCGATGCACGCGAGACGCAACGTTTAGGATCCCTTTAGCGCTCCACATTTTAACCCCTAACCGTAAAATGTCGTTAAACTGCCCAGCCGTGAATTCAGACCGTCTTGCGGTCTCACGAGGTGAGTGGACGAGGTGGTGTGGGTGGGGACGGAGAGGAGGCGGATTGGTAAGGGGTGCGTCTCTTTCACTGTTTCTCTCCCCCCTCTCTCTCTCTTTCTTTTTCTTTCTCTCTCCTATCACGATTTAAGTTTCCCAAATAATTCATCCAACGTTCTTATTATTATAATTATTATATTGTTATACGAGTAATTATTATTATCACAAACTACGTTAGGCACGTGCAATCTACTCATCACATCAAACAGTTCTGTTTCCTTGTTTCAGGGTCACCCCCAACACATATAGGCCTACAGACAAACATATGCCATCTCTCACCAACCCCACCTAGCACCCCATCACCACCACACCCTAGCCACCTCGCCCTCCTCCCTCTCCCCTTCTGTCCCCAGCCACCTCGCTTCTCCCTTCTATCGACCAACCCAACCGGTCCTTTCCACCTCTATCCCCAGCCACCTCTCCCCAGCCACCTCAACGCTTCTCGTCTTTCTACCCCCAGCCACCTCACACCATTCTCTCTTCATATCCCCACCACCTCACCCTTCTCTCTTCAACCACCAGCCACCTCACCCTTCCTCTTCTTATTCCAGCCAACCTCACGCCTTTCTCTCTTTCTATCGCCAGCCACTCACCTTCTCTCCTTCTATCCGGCCACCTCACCTTCTCTCTTCTACCCCCAGCCACCTCAACTCCTCCCCACTATATCCTCGCAGCCATCACCCTTCATCTCTTTTCTATCCCAGCCACCTCACCATTCCTCTTCTTCTATCCCAGCCACCTCAACCTCTCTCTTCTATCCCCAGCCACATCATCCTATCTCTTCTACCCGCCAGCCAACCTCACCTCATTCTCTCTCTATCCAGCACACCTCACCATGTTCTCTCTTCTATTCCCAGATCGGTTAGCTGCACCTCAACCCATTCTCTCTTCTATCCCAAGCCACCGCTCACCCTCTCTCTTCTAATACACCCCAGCCACTCTCACCGCATTCTCTCTTGCTATTCCCAATGCCTAACCTCACACCACTTCTCTTCTTTCTACCCAGCCACCTCACCCTCTCATCTTCTATCATCCCAGCCACCATCACCCTTCTCTTCTTCTATCCCAGCCACCTCATCCTGCTCCCTTCTACCCCCACCACCTCACCCTTCTCTCTTTCTATCCCCCAGCCACCGTCACCCTCATCTGCTCTTATCCCAAGCCAACTTCACCTTCTCTCTTCTAATATCCCCCAGCCACCTGCATCCTTGCTCCCATTCTAAACGCCCCCAGCCTACACTCACCATCCTTCTCTTCTATTCCGCCAGCCTACCTCAACCCTTCTCTCTTCTATCACCCAGACCACCCCTCATCCCTTCTCTCTTACCATCCCCACCCACACTCACAAGGCGCTGTCGTCTGCTTCACTAACCCGCCACCTCTACCCCAGCCACCGCTCACGCCTTTTCTCTCTTCTACCCCAGCCACCTCACCCCCCGAGCTAGCGCACCTCTATCCCCCAGCGCCAACCATCACCCTTCTCTCTTCATCCGCCAGACCACCTGGCACCCTTCCTCTCTACTCCCCACCCACCGCTCACCCTTCTCTCTTCTATCCAGCCACTCACCCTCCCCACGCTCTACCCCCATCCGACCTCACGCTTCTCTCTTCTATCCCAGCCACCTCACTCCTCCCCACCAGCCACCTCACCCTTCTCTCTTTCTACCCACCCACCTCACCCTTCTCTCTTCTACTCGCACCACCTCACCTTCTCTCTGTCTATCCCCAGACCAACACTCACCGCTTCTCTCTTCTATCCCCAGCCATCCTCGAACCTCTCGTCCCACCTCTACC